CAGGAGGAAACTCAGATGCGTTCATGGAGGCGCCGGCCTGCGTAGAGGCCACAAAGATCGACTTGCTCGGCTGTTCGATCCAGTCCCAAACGTATGGCAGCAGATCACTCGAGTCTTATACTTATAGTGTTATCTCGTTTTTTGAGGTGGCTAACCACCCTTTAAATTGCAGGGGTATTTTTCTTCCTGTCTATTCGAGTAGGGCGAAAAAACGCTGCAATTGTTAACTGGTTAGTGGTTTGACTCATATTTTCCATCTTCCATCCATACTTGGGATGGTTGCAGTAGCTCCATCGTTCAACATGCTTTGGGCTGTAACTGTCCATGTTGGCCAAAGCCTGGGTGGTGCTCTGGGCGACGCCGACAACATGAGTTGCTGACAACAAATGGGAAAACCATGGGATTTTCCGACCAACTGTGGGGATTGAATCTGCCAAAATGGCAGACATTGAAATGGTGGATCCATTGAGATGCTATTTCAGCTTCATCCAAGCGCACTGAAGCAAACAGATGCAAAAAGAATATGTCCATCCTTGTTGCCAGGCGCTGCGCTTGGCCTTCGTCACTGGGCGAAGGCGCCTTCCTGGCCCACCTCATCAGAGATGCTGTCCAGATTTGATATGGATTTGAAGAGGCATCAACGGTGAGCATTGATTTAGGTTCCAAAAGTTTTCTATTGAACTATCGAGATCGGCATTATAGTTACAAGATGTTACAAATGCTTAAAAGAGTTGGATTAAATTGGATTCTTAATCATTAAAGAGCCCTTGACCGTGCCAGGCCCATGGCCCACTTTGACGCCGTCTCCTCACCTTGAGCGCCCAAAAGCGGCGTTGTGGCATCTGAGGACGTGAGCCCGAGTCATCGAAAAAGATCGGCCCGGAAATCGAAGACGAATAACTTGTAGCAGTCCCAAAAAGTCAAGGAAGAACATCACTCCAGGGATTCCAGGAAAAATCCAAAGACTCAAAGAGGCAAGGAAGAGCAGCACTTCAAGAGGAGAACAGTGCCAACACTGCACTAGTCAGTAAACATCTTCACTTTACTGATGATGTGCCGCAGCATTTTAAGCAGCCTGACAGAAGCTTGCACCCTGCAAGCGCATGCATCGAAAATTCTCGATATAGACAACGACCGTCGACATCTACTGACGAAACCTGTTGGAATCACATTAGTTGACGCATGTATCGAGGGAACCCGGTGGAAACCAATCAGAAGTCCAAGGAGGTTTGACCAAAATTGGATTATCACATGAATCTCTGCAAGCTGCTGCTGGGTGCATGTTAGATGTCACATGGGCTGCACACACTTTGCATAAACAGTCCACCACACGCACTCTTGCATCAACTTTAACGAGCCATGTGAATGGAACAGGCTATAGATAGCGTCCTTCTTTTTGTCCCGTTCGATTATATAAATGTTGCATCGCCGGTTAACCAGCAGATTTAAGGAAGTCAGACATTTGCGTTGGGTGGGGATTTCCCCCTTCAAAGCTTCAACATGTCTGGATCCAGCGTTCAAACAAGGTTCTCACAGGCTTGCACTGCCAAGCGCCCGTTTTGCAATTGCACCTGCTGCCTTCCAGTCCCTGCGTTCAGCCGGGGGTGCCCAGTCAAGGTGCACCAGATTATGCAGAGCAGGTGGTATCGCATAGGGCTGTATTCGAAAGATCGATTGAAAGATTCCGGGTGGGAATCAGAGCCCTAGAAGATGCGCGCATTTCAGATCGCGTGAATGGGAATAGACGCGCAGGTTGACTTTATCATCCTATTGAGCTTTGAGTTTTAGTTGGGGATAGTTGGGGCATGTTTTCGGTGTGCTGCGCAATGAAAAAGCTCAAAATTTGATAAGAAACCCGGTGTTTGCGGTGCTCGTGCTGTCCCCATGGGTTGCTGCTTGTTGCCTCGAGGTCAGGGCAAGGGCTCATTCAACCCACCAAGCAGACCCCGTTTCGAGCGTTTTCGCCATCGGCTTCAGCCGGAGCCTAAAACTGGTTCATTTCTCTCTTTTCTGGTACAGTTTGCTGATCAAAGGGTTGAAGTTGAATTCACAGAGGACTAGAAAGACTGAAGGACAGCTGCCTGGATCGGCCTTGTCTTCCTTTCGATGGCGTTGAGGTCGTCACGATGGGCTGCTGTATTGGTGCGAGAACTTCCCAGGCTGAGGCGGGAGACCAGGAATTCCATTCAAGTTCGAGATATCCCAGCCTGAGAGTGTGATGGGTTTGGCTGAGAGACCAACGACATGGACGGACAACATGTTTTTGTTTTGTTCCCGAAGCCTTAAGTCATACAAACCATGGCCGCCTCAGAAATAGTTATTACACCCAAAAAAAGTGTGAAAATATGTCAAGATATGTGTAATGAGATATTACACAGGTATAAGATTGGTTGATCTACATGCTCAAATCTATCTGTTTTCAACAAGTTCACTGGCGGTCGATTGTTTCGAGGACATGTCGCCGTTCGCAGCGAGCAACTTCGATAGCCCGACGGCTGCCCAGACAGAGGAGGCAGGAAAACGGGCAGTGAATGGCACTTTTGCACGACTTCCTGCAGCGCTCAGTTGCAACTTGGAAACGTGTCAACCACTGATGGAGTTTGCCCGTCTTCTCTCAAGTCAAATGAGTCTTTTATCAATTCCGCAGATGCCTTTCATGCAAGGTGCAGATGGACCAGCCCTCCGCATCAAGGGCAGAACGTGGAACCAAAGCGAAGACCGAGGCTCAATTGCTTTGTCTGACGCTCTCGTGGTATCCAAAGATAGGATATCTATTATCTAGGTCTGTAGGTGCCGTGTCGTCCCTCACTGTTGCGGCATTGCACCGCTATGTATACCAAGTCGGATTCTGCCATCCAACTGGGCCGCTTTCTAGTGGATTTCCTGTGGATGCGTTGTGAACAAGACCTGTGTGAAAGTTCTTGTCTTGAGCAGGCTGACATGGATCCAGGAGGGATTGAAGTGGTGGAGGCTACATCCTGAAACCATGGCCACCTCAGACATGGATGTAATATAATATATATATATATATAGATAGTATAGCACCCAAAAAAGTGTCAGATGTACTGAGACATTAGAGACATTACACAGGTACAAATTGATTAATGATTATTCATTTATCATTATATGTACATATTCAAATCTATATTTGCTTCCAACAAGTTCATTTGTTACGCACCAATTCCTGAAGCCGTTCAGTTGCCACTTGGAAACGTGTCAATCACATGGAGATTGCTCTTCTTATTGCGAACCAAATGAGTTTTCTCAGCGTCGCAGATGCCTTTCTTGCGAGGTGCAGATGGACCAGCCCTCCACATCAAGGGAAGGGCTGGCAATCAAAGTGGAGACCGAGGCTCATATCACTGGGCACAGTTGCCTGCTTTTGTTTGACATCCCCATGGTGTCCAGATATGATATCTAGGGTCTAGGCGTGCGTTCTCGCCTCTGACTCTTGCGCAGCATTTGAATCGCAAATTGGACACTTCCAGAGGATTTGCAGTCCTTGTACTATGAACGAAGGAGCTGTTTAGATGCTTTGTTGTTGAGCAGGCTGATGTCGATCCCAGAGAGATTGAGGTGGTGAAGGCTACAGCCCGGAATGAGTTCATCATAGTTCATCAACCCAACCTTTCAACGTGCAGTCTGTATCAAACCTACAAAAACACCAACGCATTTCTTGCTAGTGCAAGAGTGCTTGTTAGAATTGCATTACATAAGTGCAGCAGAAAAGTCTTGACAGCCTTGATGTTCTGCAAGCGAGGCACAGCGGGATGACGTCAGAGCAGGGGCTGCGGGTGAGACTTCTGATGTGCCCGAGGCGCATTGAACAAACACAGTTTTGAACGATCTCCGCTTTACGAATTTTTGCTGCAGCCGAACCCCCGAGTGGACTTCCATCTAGTGCTCAACACTTGCCCACTTTTTTTCAAGTATTCAGTATTCAGATTTCAAGAACCGTCCCATTCTTACGAATCACAAATTCCAATGATTTCGTTTTTTGCCCATTGAAACTCAGATGTTCATGATCTTTACGTTTGACAGCTGCTGTTGTGCGAATCAAAGTGGACATTTTCGATGTGTGTCTTCCAGTGTCTTGATTGTCGGGAGCTCTTGTACTGATTCAACTGAGGGCCTATTTTGCCATGAAGAGTATAATCGAGTAAGATTGTTGCCAGTCGAAACATCGGACCTTTTTTGGAATCCAGGCAGCTGCATGGACATTTAGCAATTAACTTCAGTTTCCCGAAACGCACACAATGCTTCAGGCCAGCCTCAGGGCCTACTTCAGGAAAGACTACAAGGGCGGCGGTGTCTTTGAGCACGAGGCCTACGAGCACTATGCCCCTGAATGGTGCTGGATCCACAAGAGCTCTGGCATCAAGGCACGCGACCGTCGCCATTTGACCCGTTTCGTCACGCCACGACGTGACGCAGCAGACTCGGTGCAACCCCGGCAGCTCCTGGCAGGTGTGGCAGGATGCCCTGGACCTGACTCAGTCCGGTGGAAGTGGCGCAGTGGACTGCTTCTTTCATTACACGACTCAGTTGGGGTTCCGCAACATTACTGCTCCACAAAAGGAGGCCGTTGAAGTCTTCGTGCTGCACTCAGTCACCAATCAACATGTCATGTGATGTCATGTGACATGCGTCTTTTTGCCCGCTCACCTTGCCGATGGCCATAGCCTTGAGCATCCGAAGGCCTCTTTGGTGACCAGCGGTCCGAACGCCAATGCATGGTGGGGCAGAGGCAGGGCCAGTCATGCATGCGCGTGCATCATTTTGCAGCTGCTGTATCACAATTGACAAAACGTGAGCAATTGCTTCACCGTCTGTGGTTGTGCACAGCAGGGCGCTTAAGTGCTTTCTTTCTCTGTGACTGAGGGATGTCCTTGGACCTTTGTGTCCACTGCAAACAATTCTGATGAGGAGTTTATACCGTGCGAAGATCGCCCGATGACTGGCCAGATGTGGCAACGCTGATCGACAACAACTACCGCAACATGCACGCGAGAGACGTGAAAACGAAAGGCCGCCAGGCCGCGGACGAGGAGAGTGTGCCTTTCTTAGGCGCAACATTGCCCACAGTTTTGGTTCAATTTTTGGATGCGCACATCGACAGTGTTTGCAAATTAACAGACCTAGATCCAGTCATGGAGGAGTATGCCTCGCGCGTGGCCTATTGCATCCCCATATTGGCCAACGCCGCCGTCACATACGACGTTTCGATTCAACAGACGCCGGAGATGCAGAAGGAGGCTGGTAGCATCGGGTAGCATTTGTGTGCTTTGCCCGGAGCTGAATCGATTTTGTGTGGACACATGCGGAACCATCTGACTCATGTTTGCTCTGCACCGTTAGGGCAAGCCTCCCGGCGTGTCCGGGACCCAGTACCTGAGTGCTTCATATGAAAGCTGCGCAATGACTCACACATTGCTTTCAAGTCCGCTGCCCAGGAACCTGGCAGGAAAGCTGCTCAATGAACCGGGTCAGCCAGAGAGGCAGTGCGTGGTGATCAGGGTGGAAAGAGAGGAGGAAGTGGGCCACGCCAGCGCAGTGCTGCTGGACACGAAACTTGGCTGCTTTTGGGGCTTGGAACTCGGCTAACCATCCAGGGTTACGGCCGTTCAATCCAGGGGTTTTGTTCCTTTGAGCTTGCCATATCCAGGGGTTAGGATTCGTCCAGTAGGATTAAATCAGGTGGGCCGAGTTCAAGACTTCTATTGGAAAAATGATCCAGAGGGCTGACAAGTTTTTGGCTTTTGATGAATTATCAAGTTCGAGATGCACACTGGTCCCTTCGGTCGATTTGGACCAGAACCAGCATGATTTCAACATTTGTTTTTGATGCAGCCCTGCGGACTGTTTCCGCTGCTCTCTTGCTCTCGTTTTGACTTTCCTTCTTCCGGGATCTCTGGTCACGTCGCTCCCTAGCAAGTTTACGGAACCTCTCCCGTGGGTCAAAGTAATTATATCAAAGTATCATGGCCGTGGCAGGATGGATACCAAACAGAAAGCACGAAGCTCAAGCTCTGTTTCGAGAGCGGGCGCGCTTGTCAATCCAATATTTTGCACTCCAGATCTAGAAAGGTACACCGCAAGATAAAAACACCGTTTGTCCTGGCTCGGGCTCCTTGTCCTGCAATTGAAAGTATCAGGGAGTAAAGGCATGGAGCAGAATCGCTTGATGTTTGATCTTGCCACCTGACCATTCACTTTAAGATGTGGAGAAGGCGTGGAACTTTGAAACTCTTTCAGGAGTGCCCGCGCGACATTGCCTTCTGAGATTTCTTGAGTACGGCCCACTTCGAGTTTTATAGTATCTATCGGCTATATTCATCTATGCCATGTCTATTGATTATGCTATGAGTTGACTTGAATTACCCGCTCCATTTAGGACAAACGTCTGCCAATTTCAAAAAACCTTTCAAAAAACCTGCCCCCCCCCACCCTCACGCGTAAAAACATATGGTTGAAGATCCCGCAAAGCAGGGGCCATCGGTTGCAGCCCAGTAGCCAGCTTCTGACTGAAGCTGGGAGCCGTCCCACACCTTGACGATTTTGCGTACCGTTGGCCGTTCTCTTGAACTTGATGTGTCTTCCATGCTGGTGACATGGTCGACCACCGCACTGCCATGTGATAGGCACAGCCATGTGATAGACATCATCATGGACCAAGGCTGCGGTGCCGTGCAGATGCCACAGCCGAAAGATTGGGCCCTGAGCACGACAAAGCGCTTTTGGCACTGAGCCGGTGCGGACCTCAGTCCCTCCAAAGAGACGAACACATTAGCAAACATGTATTGTTGGGTCAAGAACTGTATTGTCTTGTCACCAGAGATTTGCATCCAGAAATGCCGCAAAGCCGCAAAGTGAAAGCTGTAGATTGCAGTAGGCAACAGTATTTGCAACAAGCATCAAATAGCATCAAACAGCATCAAAAAGTATAGCCTATAGCAACTGCTCAAGTGAAATCAAAACAGTTCGAATCCCAGAATCTTGTTTTCTCACCAGGGACTTGGATCCAGAAATATGCCACGAAACCACAAATAGTCAAAACATGTGCCCTCTCTCCACGGAGCCGTGGGAACTTTTCGGCTCCCGTGGCGATCCACGGCTGAGGCTCGCCCGGGTGCTGGTGGCCCGCGGCGCCTTCGCCGAGGCCGAGCCGCTGCTGCGCCGAGACCTGGAGGCCACAGAGCGGCAGCTGGGGTCGGAGCAGCGTGTGACGCTCCAAGCGGTGAACAACTTGGCAGTTGTGCTGGAGCGCCTGGGGAAGTTCAGCGAGGCGCCGCTGATGTGCTGTGCTGCAGTCACCGTGGCGGGTGGATGGTGCTGCATTTTGTGGTGGGAAAAGTTGGGAAAATTGCAGGGAAACAACAACCACATTTTCAGATCATCTCAAAATTTTGTCATCTATGTAGAAGTGCGATGATGCATGAACAATGAACATGTCAATTTTACGCAAATCATCTCAAATCACGTCATGTATGGACGTGCCAAAACATGGACATGTCAAAGTTTAGCAAAAGATGTTTGCAAAGAACAGATGCCGCGTTGCAAGTTTCAGTCTGAGATGTCTGTCAAAGCGTTTTTGCAAAACATCACAGAACAGATGCACCCTGAGGTTGGAGTTTATTTGCAAACGGAAGATTGGAACGACGATGACGCACATCCAAATCATGTTGAAATGTCAACTCGTCGAACTTTGCGTTTTATTCTTCAAGTTTTGAACTATGTGTGCATTTTACATGGTACAATTGTACTTGACATCTTTTTCATCAGTCCAAACTCAAGGCCGTTGCCCACCTTTCTTCCCTTTCCACATGGTACTCGCAGGCAGATCCAGGCCTGCAGGCCCCACATCACCGGTGCCATCCCGAGACGCCAGGCGGAGGCCCTGCACCGCCGAGATCTTGCAGGGAGCGAAGCGCACCTCGGTGCGAATCATCCGGACACGCTCACCTCCATGAACAACCTGGCGAACCTTCTGGAAGAGCAGGGGAAGCTGGCTGAGGCGGGGCTGGGGTCTTTGGGGTGAGAGGTGACCTTCCTGGAGGAAGTTTCACCGAGGGCATTTTCTTGTTTGGCCAAGGCCTGAGGCCTGGACTTGTTCTTTTCAATTTCCCGGGATTATTGGGTCACCTTTTTTGAGCGAACTATATAACACAAATTAATTAAATCCATGCCAAATGAAAGGAGGACATTGTTGAGACCCTCATCCACAAGACTGTTAGTTTCATAGTTGTAATCGGAAAAATGAAAACATTGCAAAACTCTCACATTCTATAAAGACGTTTTATTTTTCAGATCATCTCAGAATTTGTCATCTATATAGAAGTGCGATGATGCATGAACATGTCAATTTTACGCAAATGATCTCAAATCATTTCAAATCTCGTCACGCATGGAAGTGCCAAAACATGGACATGTCAAAGTTTAGCAAAATCTGTTTGCAAAGAACAGATGCCGCGTTGCAACTTTCAGTCTGAAATGTCTGAGGCTGTCAAAGCCGTTTAGCGAAAAAAATCACAGAACAGATTCTCTGAGGTTGGATTTTTTTTTCAAATGGAAGATTTGAACGAAGATGACTCACATCCAAATTATGTTGCTTCGTGTTTTATTCTTCAAGTTTTGAATTACGTGTGCCTTTACATGGTATAATTGTACTTGACATCTTTTTCATCAATCCAAACTCAAGGCCGTTGCCCACCTTTCTTCCCTTTCCACATGGTACTCGCAGGCAGATCCAGGCCTGCAGGCCCCACACCACCAGTGCCATCCCGAGACGCCAGGCGGAGGCCCTGCACCGCCGAGCTCTTGCAGGGCAAGAAGAGCACCTCGGTGCGAATCATCCGGACACGCTCGGCTCCATGCACAACCTGGCGGGGCTTCTGTGGAAGCAGGGGAAGCTAGAAGAGGCGGGGCTGAGGGTCTTTGGGGTGAGAGGTGACCTTACTGCACGTTTCACCAAGGGCATATTTTTGTTTGCCCAAGGCCTGAGGCCTGGATTTTCTTTTGTCAATTTCCCAATATTGTTGGATTACTTTTTTGGGCGTAATACATCGTTGGGACCTCCATCCACATTTCATAGTTGTAATCGGCAAAATGAACACATGGCAAAACTGTCAAATCTTTCCGGTGAATTCTTGCAAATGATGCCTATAGATGGCTATAGTATAAATATATCTATATAGGCGCATGCTGAATGAAAGTATGACATCTGCAGGACCCCCATGCTGTTCCCACTCGTTTCCTGGTTGCAGCCGGCAACCCACGAAAGCTGTGCGATTGATATTGATATATGGAGATCTACATATATAATCATATATATATATATACTGCATATGGTAGTTTGCATACCGCAGTGACTACACAAATTGCCTGACACTTACGTTGCTAGTTTGTAGTGCCGCAGCGGCGCCACCTCGAGCCGCCAGGCGGAAGAACTGCAACGCAAAGCGCTCGCTGGTCATGAAGCGCAGCTGGGAGCGAGCCATCCCAACACGCTAATCATCCTGAACGTTCTCGCTGCGATCCTCGAGTCGCAAGGCAAATTGGAAGAGGCCAGACTCAGACCGAGGTCAGGGGCAGAAAGGTGACCTTCCCCGTGGAAGTTCCAAGGGGAAGGCGCTTTTTTTGAAGTATAAACAAGAGTGGAAGAGTGGACACTTCCATGTCTCCAATTTGTGCATCTCCTAAGTTTCGCCCAAATTCAGAAGTTGAATTGCTCGGGCATGAAATCCATACATGCAATGTGCATCAGGGTTGGTGCCAAGGATCTGTCCTCCAATTCCCGAGAGTCAAACTTGGGAACCCATCAGTCGCTTGCATTTTCCCGCAATCTAATTTTAACTATGAAGGCTCAGCGGAAAACTAAGAAAAGTACAAACTCCTTTCAAACAGAGTTCATCACCTCAAGACTCTGAAGAATCTTTGGGGTTTGTTAGGCAAAAGAGAACTGTACGGCTTGTGACGTCACACTGGGAAACACAACAGCATAGTGATGATGAGTGATGTCAATACTAATTTGGTTCAGTTCAACACACGCCCTAGATTTTTGTGTTTACACAATCAGTCAGCCAAGGCTGTTTGTAAGACCCTTCTTCACGATACCAGCACCTCTTCAATGGATTTAACCCAGACTCTTGATTCTATGTGCAAGAGTTTCCGGATCACGATAAAACGCATGCAGCATATTTGCAAATGGGCGACGGAGGCCACATATACAGTTTATTGATTTGAGAACGATGACGAA